CGGTGGATAAAGAACTGGCTGGATGGTCGCACTCAAAGAGTTGTGGTCAGCGGTTCAATGTCCACGTGGAGGCCAATGATGAGTGGTGTTCCTCATGGGTCAGTACTGGGACCAGTGCTATTTAACATCTTTGTTGACGACATGGACAGTGGGATCGAGCGCACCCTCAGCAAGTTTGCAGATGACACCAAGTTGTGTGGTGTTGTGGACACGCTGGAGGGAAGGGATGCCATCCAGAGGGACCTTGACAGGCTGGAGAGGTGGGCCTGTGAGAACCTCATGAAGTTCAACAAGGCCAAGTGCAAGGTCCTGCACGTGGGTCAGGGCAATCCCATGCACAAGTACAGGCTGGGCGGAGAATGGATTGAGAGCAGCCCTGAGGAAAAGGACTTGGGAGCGCTGGTGGATGAGAAGCTCAACATGAGCTGGCAATGTGCACTGGCAGCCCAAAAAGCAAATCGTATCCTGGGCTGCATCAAAAGAAGTGTGGCCAGCAGGTTGAGGGAGGGGATTCTGCCCCTCTACTCTGCTCTCCTGAGACCCCACCTGGAATACTGCTTTCAGCTCTGGAGTCCCCAGCACAAGAAGGACATGGAGCTGCTGGAGCAAGTCCAGAGGAGAGCCACAAAGATGATCCGAGGGCTGGAGCACCTCTGCTATGAAGACAGGCCGAGAGTTGGGGCTGTTCAGCCTGGAGAAGAGAAGGCTCCGGGGTGATTTTATTGCAGCCTTCCAGTACTTAAAGGGGGCCTACAGGAAAGCTGGAGAGGGACTTTTTACAAGGGCATGTAGTGATAGGACAAGGGGAAATGGCTTTAAATTGAAAGAGGGCAGATTTAGATTAGATCTAAGGAAGAAATTTTTCACTCAGAGGGTGGTGAGGCACTGGAACAGGTTGCCCAGAGAAGTTGTGGCTGGGCCATCCCTGGAAGTCTGGAAGTGTTCAAGGCCAGGTTGAATGGGGCTTTGAGCAACCTGGTGTAGTAGAGGGTGTCCCTGCCCATGGTAGGGAAGTTGGAACTAGATGATCTTTGAGGTCCCTTCCAAGCCTAACCATTCTATGATTCTATGATTCTGTAAGTCTTCCACGAGCAGAGAGGGGAGCCCTGCCTGCATCTTCTACACCAGGCAACAGTTGTTGGACACAGCAGTAACGTATCAGGAGCTCCAGCCAACTGGATGTAGGTTGGATGCTGCTGGGGTGAGATAGGAGCCTGCCCAGAATGAAACCACCCTAGAAGCCTGGAAAGAGAGTGCCTGCCATGGGCAGTTTTTACCCTAGCACTACTTTTCCTTCCAAGTATCTATGTCCCAGCTAACTTCCTCAAACCATTTCTATCCCCTTTCTTGCACCTCAAAACATACACTTTGTTTCAAGCTATTGCACAGCCAAGAAGGAACTGGCTACCTGACCTGTCTTATGACGAAATTTGGGAGCTAGTTTTTGTGGACTTGCCCCAAATGTTGGGCTGCAACTAGGAACCCCTGTTAAGTATTCTGTTTGGGACAGTTCATCAGGCATGGTGTGCTGGTTTTGGTTGGAATAGTTATTTTTCTTCACAGCAGCTAGTATGGGGCTGTGTTTTGGATTTGTGCTGGGAACAGTGTTGATGATAACACAGGGATGTTTCTGTTACTGCTGAGCAGTGCTTACACAGAATCAGGGCCTTTTCTGCTCCTCCCCCCACCCCACCAGCGAGTAGCTGCGGGTGCACAAGGAGTTGGGAGGGGACACAGCTGGGACAGCTGACCCCAACTGACCAAAGGGATATCATGTTCCATATGACGTTGTGCTCAGCATATGCTCAGCTGGGGGATGAAGGAAGTTCGGAGTGATGGCATTTGTCTTCCCAAGTCACCGTTACGTGTGATGAAGCCCTGCTTCCCTGCAGATGGCTGAACACCTGCCTGCCGATGGGAAAG